ATATATTGGGATAGGTTTGGCATTGCTTGAGAGAGATTGCTAAATCAAAATAGGAATATCGATTCATCTTTTATGGAATTGTGTGTCAAATTTGCATAATTGACAATTAAACGGTATTGCTTGGGATTCGTGATCCTAGTGTGTTAGAGCATCTATTAATTCTATAAAATTCTAGTTAAATTGCATCCAATGTATTTTGAACTTAGTGTAATCCTTCGTCCATAATTGCATCAATGATTACATGTTGTTAGTTAAAGTATAAAATCGCCATTTGGTTGTCGTGTTTCGGTTAAGATCATATTAGATTAATTCGAACTAATTCAATCCTAATGGGATCGATACTTGGACTTATAGTCCATTTTATTACTTGTTAAGGAACCGAACACTTGCGGTGAATTTAAAATCGGAATAAACAAAATTTCGCGGACAAGTTTTTGGCGTCGTTACTGGGGATTGAAATTTAGTTTTAATTTTATCTTTTGTGACACTAATTCGAATTTATCTAGATTAGTAGTAGTTAGCTTACTAGGTTTAGTTTATTAATACTACAATTTAATTTTGTATTGATTTTGCAATCTCAAGGCTTGTATGCAAGGAGCACCCGATCAAGATTTGGTTCCCATAGATCCGGAGATCGAACGCACATTCTGTCATAGGCAAAGAGAAGCAAGAGCGCACAACAAATGGCTAACGAGCAAAATCGACTGGCAGTTCCACTCAACGACGGCATGACAGTTGAAGATGATGGGAATACAGTACTTGGGGACTTCATGGCTCTGTTGGTGGTCCAAAGTCAATCTAGCATTGTGTATCCTCCATTTGGGTAATCGAACTTCCAGCTAAAAATAAATGTGATTCAACTCTTTCAGAATGGACATCAATACCATGGGATGGCTAGTGAAAACCCACATACACGCATATACCGGTTTTTGGATATGTGCCAACACTTCAGGTACCAGGGTATCTCGGACGATACTATAAGATTGCGGTTGTTTCCACACACATTGCGGGATAAGGTATTTGAATGGTTGGATTCGCTTCCCGTTGCAAGCATCGCCACTTGGAAGAGCTAGCCCACAAATTCTGCACCAAGTTCTTCTCGCCAGCAAAGGTAGCCAAAATGCGGCATGATACTCTATTTTCAACCAAGGTGAGTCCGAATCGTTTGAAGAGGCATGGAATCGTTTCAAGAATATGTTGAGGAAGTGTCTGCAACATGGCTTTGACAAGAAGACACAGATCCGATTTTTCTACACTGGACTACTTTCATCCTTCAAGAGCATGGTGGATTTCTCATCTAACGGGTCTATCTCCATGAGAACAATTGATGGAGCATGGGAGCTATTTGAGAGAATGGCAACAACTTCAGCCATGTGGTCTACAGATCGAGTGGTTCAGAAGAGATCGTCGGGGGTTTATGAAGTAGATACTTATTATACACTATCGACAAAGATAGACTCTTTGTTCCATAAGGTTGAGAGCATTTCATAGACCGCCACTGCTAAACGAGTCAAGAAGCCGAGTTGTGAAGAATGTGGAGCAGACCACAATACTGTTAATTGTCCAATTCTCGTACAAGGGGTCGAACATGCAGACTTTGTGCAATGGGGTCAACGCCAACAGAACAACCCACATTTGGAAACCTTCAATCAGGGCTGGAGAAAACATCCAAACTTCTCGTGGAGCAATCAGAATCAAAACAGACCATAGGGTCAATACCAGCAGCAGGATAAAAAGCCACCATTGGAAGAGATGTTTGAAATGTTTATGGTAACAACCAATCAGTATATGGAAGCCAACAATCAATTTATGCGAAAGACAGATGCAACTCTTCAAGACTAGAGTGCAGCAATCAAAAATTTGGAGACATAAATGGGACAGATGACAATCTCCATTATGGGTAGAGCACCAAGAAATCTGCCCAGGAACACTGAAATCAACCCTAAGGAGCACGCAAAAGCTATAACAATCAGAAGTGAAGTACAACTACCGGAGATACATGTCAAAAGATCGGTAGCTAGCAAGGAATCAGCACCAACCTCGAATGACGAAATTGTGGAACAAACAGAACAAACAACAGGAATGTGGGCAAGGAGAATTCCAGTACATCACCGGATGCCATTCTTATCAACCCTCATGAGCCTCTTATTCCGTTTCTGCAGAGATTGAAAAAGCACAAATTGGATCAGTAATACAGTAAATTTCTTGAAGTCTTCAAGAAACTACACATCAACATTCCATTTGCTGAAGCACTTGTTCAGATGCCAAGTTATGCAAAATTCCTGAAGGATATCCTCTCCAACAAGCGAAAGATAGAAAAACACGAAACAGTGATGCTAACTGAAGAGTGCAGTGCCAGAATCCAGAGAAAGTTGCCTCCAAAATAAAGGATCCAGAGAGTTTTACTGTCTTGCATTATTGGGAATTGTCATTTTGATAAAGCATTGTGTGATTTAGGTGCAAGTATTAATTTAATACCTCTCTCTGTTTTCAGAAAACTCAGCTTGGGAGAAGCTAAAGCCACAATGGTTACATTACAATTAGCAGATCGATCCCTTACACATCCAAGAGGGATCATTGAAGACGTATTGATAGAAGTGGAGAAGTTCATATTTCCAGTCGATTTTCTTATCTTGGACATGGAGGAAGATAAGGATGTTCCACTTATATTAGGGCGACCTTTCCTAACTACTGGAAGAGCGATTGTTGATGTTCAGAAAGGGTAGCTTATATTGAGGCTTGGCGAAGAGCAAATCTCGTTTAACGTGTTCAAAGCAATGAAATTCCTGACTGAGTCAGACAGCTGTTTCTAGATCGATATAATTGACAGAATAATTCAAGATACATTTCGGCTACATCATCCTTCCGATGCTTACAAGGCGTGCATTACACATTCTCAATCCACTCACACTGATTCAAGTGAGATTGAAACATGTGCACGATTTTTTGAAACTAATCCGCCATACATGCGCAGCCATTACTCCGAAGAGCTGGGAACCAGGACTAGACAGTCAGTGCCTTCTATTCAGCAACCTCCCAAATTGGAACTCAAGCAACTGCCACCACACCTGAGATATGCTTACCTGGGAGAATCTTCTACACTTCCGGTTATTATTTCAAGTACTGTCAGTGAGGTGGAGGAAGAGAAACTACTTCGGGTGCTAAGGGAAAACAAAACAGCCATTGGATGGTCGATTGCAGATATCAAGAGGATCAGTTCGTTGCTATGCATGCACAAAATACTCATGGAGGAAAAATTCAAACCAAGCATTGATGGTCAGCGGAGGTTGAATCCATACATGAAGGAAGTGGTTAGGGCTGAGGTATTGAAGTTGCTTGACACAGGCATCATCTATCCAATATCAAATAGTGCTTGGATCAGTGCAGTACAAGTTGTTCCCAAGAAAGTGGGTATCACAGTGATAGAAAACAAGAAAAATGAGTTAATTCCTACACGGACTGTGACTGGATGGAGAGTTTGCATTGATTACCGCAAACTAAATGCTACTACTCGAAAGGATCACTTCCCACTACCGTTCATTGATCAGATGTTGGAAAGACTAGCAGGGCATTCACATTATTGTATTCTGGATGGATATTCCGGGTGTAATCAAATTCTAGTAGTACCTGAAGATCAGAAGAAGACAACTTTCACTTGCCCCTACGGTACCTTTGCATACCGTAGGATGCCGTTTGGTTTATGCAATGCTCCTGCAACTTTTTAGCTCTGTATGATGGCTATCTTCTCAAGATATGATTGAGAAATTCATCGAGGTCTTCATGGACGATTTCTCAATGTTCGGGTCTTCATTTGATGAGTGCTTGGAGCGTTTGAGTCTTGTGCTACAGCGGTGTACGGAGACTAACTTGGTATTGAATTGGGAGAAATGCCACTTTATGGTGCAGGAAGGCATCGAGCTAGGACACAGAATCTCAGCAAAGGGTATTGAAGTGAACAAAGCAAAGATTCAGGTGATCGAGAAATTACCGTCACCTACATCCGTGAAAGCTGTTCGTAGTTTCCTCGGGCATGTCGATTTCTACAGAAGATTCATCAAGAATTTCTCAAAGATTACTAAACCGTTGTGCCGTCTATTGATAAAGGAATCCACATTTGAGTTCACAGATGAGTGTCTGCTTGCTTTTAAGACCTTGAAAGAAAAGTTGATTTCAGCACCCGTGATCATTATGCCAGATTGGAATCTGCCATTTGAATTAATGTGCGACACCAGTGATTATGCTGTTGGGGCTGTCTTAGGACAACGAAGAAATAAGATATTTCACGTGATTTACTATGCAAGACCTTGAACGACGCTCAACTCAATTATGCCACTACAGAAAAAGAGCTCCTTGCCGTAGTCTACGCCCTTGACAAATTTCGATCATATCTCGTGGGATCAAAGGTCATCGTTTACACAGATCACACTGCTATCAAGTACTTAATGAAAAAGAAGGATGCAAAGCCCTGTCTCATTCGTTGGATATCGTTGTTTCAAGAGTTTGACTTGAAAATCAGGGATAAGAAAGGCAATAAAAATGTAGTGGCAGACCACTTATCTCGACTCGAGGCCACATAACAGACAGAAATAGTGGAAATCAACGAAGTCTTCCCAGATGAACAGATTTTTGGTTTGGGAAAGGCACCCTGGTATGCAGACATCGTTAACTACTTAGCTAGGTCTATCATGCCGCCTGATTACTCCAATCACCAAAAGAAGAAAATTTTCTTTGAATTGAAATATTATTTTTGGAAGGATCCCATTCTATACAGGTGGGGGGCTGATCAAATTGTTCGTTGCTGCGTACCTGAGGAAGAAGTGCCTTTGATAGTAGAAAATTGTCATTCATCTACATATGCAAGGCATTTTGGTGCTTCAAAAACAGCAGTGAAGGTCCTTCAATTAGGTTTTTATTGGCCTACACTATTTAAAGATGCTTTTAAATTTGTGAAAAGGTGTGACTGATGTCAACGCACCGAAAACATATCCAGGAGAAATGAAATGCCTTTGAATAGTATCCTGGAGATGGAACCATTCGACGTCTGGGGGATCGACTTCATGGGACCATTTCCCCCATCCTTCTCTAATCAGTACATATTAGTGGCTGTGGATTACGTAGCAAAGTGGGTAGAGGCCGTTGCACTGCCTACCAATGATGAAAAGGTGGTGATTGAGTTTCTAAAGAAACATATTTTTACCCGCTTTGGAACACCGAGGGCTATAATCAGTGACGGGGGCAAACACTTCTGCAATCGTCAACTCAAACAATTGTTGGCTAAATATGGCGTTAAACATCGTGTAGCCACTACATATCATCCCCAAACCAGCGGACAGGTCGAAGTATCCAATAGACAATTGAAGCGAATACTCGAAGTCACAGTAAACTCATCATGAAAGGATTTGTCTAAAAAATTGGACGACGCCTTATGGGCCTATAGGACTGCATTCAAGACCCCTATAGGAATGTCACCATATCGACGGGTTTTCGGGAAAGCATGCCACTTACCCCTTGAGATAGAACATCACGCTTACTGAGCAATGAAGAAATTGAATTTGGATTTGAAGGTTGCAGGTGAAAAACGTCTCCTACAATTTAATGAGCTGGATGAGCTTAGAATGGAAGCCTACAAGGATTCAAGAATCTACAAAGAGCGCACCAAGAAATGACATGACATGCACATTCAGAGGCGTGAATTTATGGTGGGGCAAAAAGTGCTACTCTACAACTCTAAGCTTAAGTTGTTTCCAGAAAAACTGCGATCGAGGTGGTGTGGTCCGTATACTATTACACATGTTTTTCCACATGGGGCAGTTGAAATCACTCACGACAGTAAGGGGACATTCAAGGTCAATGGACAGTGTCTGAAGCACTATTGGGGCGGCGATTTTTCAAAGAAAAAGTCTACCGTTTATCTTCGACCATCAGAAGAAGCAACACGGTAAAGTCGAGCTATCGACTATAATCTAGCGCTGAGTAGGAGGCAACCTACCGTATCATTTTATTAGCTTACTTTCCACATTATTTTTAAATTATTTCATTTTCACATTTGTATTTTTTTTAGGTCACCGGTTGTACATGCATGTTAATTGGATCGAATTATCATCATCATAATTTCCTAGGCTTTACACACATGGTAGGTGAGTTTGAAACGATTTTGGGTGTTTGGGAGCATGGTTCACGCTCTTCTAGATCAAAGAACGTTTTTTTTAAAAAAAATTTTATGAGGAAAATACTTTTTTTTTGCATTTCAGTGTTTCAAAAAAAATTTTGGTCTATGCGACCGCATAGACGGTTACAGAAAACAAAAGTGGGAAAATTCTTATTACTATGCGACCGCATAGATTAGTACTATGTGGCCGCATAGTAGATCTCGGTCATGGTTTTAAACCATGACCGAGACATTCCGTCTCCCACTCTCCTCTCTCTTGCCTCACACACCCTACACTTCACACACTACACTCCCACACGAGCCACACCCTTACTTCACGCCACTCCCCATCATCACCTCGTTACATCGACACTCAACGCCTCCATTGTGACTTCAAGGTGAGTTCGTTTTCCTTGTACCTCAATACAATTTTACTCTACTTTGGTTCGTCATGAAACTTTACTCTTTGAACTTGTTTGTGGAGAATGGGCATTAGGTAGTCGTTGAATTTGTGAATGTTGAACTTGGTTTGTGTTTTGGATTGGTGGCACATCACATTTTAGGTATTTTGTAAGATTCCAATGCATGAATGTTACATGTTCGATAAAATGCCTAATCAAGCTTTGTGGTGCATTATGTGATATCTCGCAATTGTTATTCCAAATACGTACACCATCATGCACATTGCAATCAATTACCATCAAAATTGAGCTCGAAACACTCACGTACCAACCACTCACACATTAAGGTACACGTGTTAGGTTCATGTCACCTCATCGCACCCACTTTGTCCCTTGCGTTAAGTACCCGTACGACGTCCAATGAGCTTGAAAATTGAATATGTGTCACTCCACACTACATATTTTCATATGCCCAGAGGTTGCTTGGGAAAACTTCAAGTTTTCTCGATGATGTCCGGGGGAGAACATGCACACTTAATCATCGCGTTACTTGTTTCATTTTGGTTGTTTGGACCTCAGTTTGTGTGTAACTTGTTATTATGCCTTCCTTAGACGTTCTTGAGCATGCCTTGTTGACCTTTGCGTGTTACCACATTCACAACCACTTGAACGACCATGTATCACATCACTTCCATCTTACAACGCATAAGCACATGGCATGTCAAGGCACCCTACGTCCCATACTTTCCACCATTACTTGGCATACCAAACGAATTTCATTTGCTTTGAAATTTGAATATGTGGTAGATCTCATTGAATACTCTCATATGCCCAGAGCTTGTCTGGGGGAATATCGATAATTTTCGACGATGTCCAGGGCGAACATGCGCACTTGGTCAAGGATATGATTTTTTTTTTTACATGTGTTTGTTTCGGCCTAACTTTCCAATCTTTCACCTCAGCATTCTCTTTACACTTTCCTCTTTATCATATTTTGATACGTGCACACCATGGTATTTATATGCTTGTTGAAGCAAGTTTGGGGGGGTTTATAAACTATTTGCCTCGCTTACCTCATTCCCCCTATTGTTTTTATTATTGCAGTTTACTGACTACTGTATCTTTAACTTTGCAGAATGCCCCCAAAGCGTACTTCAAAGGGAAAGGAGAAAGTTGGTTCCACATCTGGCACAGTCCAGACTAGGGAACCCGAAGGGGGAGTTCGGTGTTTTCTTTCTTCCGACCAAGCAGCCCGCTATGCCAATGTTGTTCGGGAATTGGCGCTGATTTCTCGGGTTTTGAATTGGTTTATTTAGTCCACAACTGCGGGTGGGAGAAGGTGATTGAAAGACCACATCCCGTCTATGAAAACTTGGTGCGGGAATTCTATGCAAATTTCAATGCTGAAATAGACACACCGGGATCCGACCATCTGCATCAGACTTAGGTTCGGGGCAAACGGATCATGTTTTCGCCTGAGGTAATACATGACTACTATCATCTCACCTTGATAAATGTACTCTCAATCCTGCATGATTTCAACTGGGTTGAAGTGGCCGAAGTTTTATTGGGACGGGAAAATGCTTGGCCGCTCCCTACTGCTGATTGGTATCAGATAGACCTCACTCCGTCTATAGCCATCCTATGGTTATTCATTTGCCACAACATCGAGCCAATATCCCATCGGACGACATTCATCGATCAGAAGGCAGGTTTCATTTACCACTTAGTTCGGGGAACAAAATTAACTTGGCCACCTAAATTTACAATCAGATGCACATTATAGGCGCATGGGGTGATAGACACACATCACTGATATTCCTGAGCCTGATAAATGGAATTTGTAGAGTAGCTGGCATACAAGTTCAGCCAGGAGAGGCACCGAAGAAACCAAGTCCTTTTATCAAACGCTTCACACTCGAGGCCCAGGACCGCGCCAGGATTAAACATCAGCAGAAATTGAAAAACAAGCGCTGACAACAGCAACAGGCTACAGAGGGGCAAGCAGCTACGGACTTTGAAATGCCACAGGCTCCAGCACCACCAGCTGACGTAGACACCCAGTTATTGCGACAGATGTTTGCTACTATGACTGGACACGGTCGAGACATGCAGCAGCTTTAGCAATCCTTTGGGGCACTGACTACCACCATTCAGTAGGTACAGACTGATATGGCATCTGCACGAAACTTCGCGTCCACTGCCAGCAGTGAATCCATCTCAGCACGCCGACAGATGAGTACCTTTGACGGGCGTCTGGGCATGTACGTTAGTCGGATGGACGGTATACAGTGGCGGGTGAACGAGTCTTGGGACCGTCTAGGGAATTTGGAGACGAGGGTTCAGGCCATGCAGATGGAGCAGACCCAGCAGTCTGCCATGTTGAGGGAGATCTTGTCTCACCTTCTCTCTCCTCCTGGCGATGATGATGTCGGGCCCAGCTTTCCATCCCAGCCACCGTTTTGATCAGGGGAGTATTGTTTATCCCATTTTGATTCTTCATCTTCATTTTGTCCTTAAAAATTATGTCGTTAATCTTTTGTTAATTTTACATTGAGGACAATGTATTAACTAAGTTTAGGGAGGGTGACATAATTTATTTCACATCTTTATCTGTGTTCATCATTATCTGTTTTTCATTACTTGAAAAAAAAATTGTGACATTCTATTTAGCTTGTTTTAATTCTCTTCATGCATGTTTGTGTGGGCTTAATAACCTCGTTCGCTATGATGTTATTATTGGACTAGTTTAAACTGCAAAATTTTGAATCTGGTGTTAATTAGACTAACTGATACTTGTTGATGCAATACATGACATTATATATGCACGCTATTCATGCTTGACATGTTAGATGAATGAATGAATTTTGAGCATAAAGTAGGAAAAGAATGATAATCATCTATTAAATTAACTCATAAACTACCTAAAGACAGTTTGGTGATAGTTGAGCTATTATAGGAAAGCATTGAGATGAGTGGGGACTCCGTGCATGAAATTTATTGTGTGGATTACCTAGACCAGTGGGATGAAGAGTAGGTGAAAATCTTAAATTGGGGGTTGGTTTTGGAAACTGAATGTCTAGAAAAATGACAAAGGACACAATTTTTATATGTGAGAATAAAACATTTCTTTTCATGCCTTTATGACTCGAGCAAGTAAGCCTGTAAGGATATTTCAAAATCTGGTGCCCTAAAACCAACTGGTTTGGGAGTCACCGGCCCAAATCTCGTTACATGGGTCATATAGAAAGCAAGAGGAAAAGGAGTTAATAAAAAATCATCTTATCGAGCCTTTATAACTCGAGTGGATAAGTCTGCAAGAGTTTAAAACCTGGTGCCCTACAGCCAACTGGTTTGGGAGTCATCGGCCTAAAGTACGCTAAAGGGGTTATATAGAAAGCAAAAGAGAAGATGATATGTTAAAAAAAAAAAAATTGGAAAGTGGGAAAAGCAAAAGAGAGACAATAACATGAAGAAAAGCCCCTAGACATTTGGTTGAGGAAACTATACCTTTGAGGCGAGGCAAATAACCTATTTTAATCTTGAGTGTCGAAGCAATCAAACTTGGGAGAGCCTTCACTTGTTGAAATGTAGACTTGTGATAGTAATGCTAAATCCGAACTATGAGAGGGTGAGGACTACAACTATATAAATTCCTAATCTTAAAACACAATCCTAGGATAATTGAGTGAAAAGAATAAGTTTGGGGGGTTGTGTATCTCTCGAGTGAGTAAGGATATATTTGACCACTTGGAGTCGGGACTCAGATTCATCATAAACCTGATATGTTGGCATGAATTCACACACGCACGTCAATTTGCATTAAACAAGTAAAGGTTGATGTTATGTTTGCACAGATAAATTTTTAAATACTCAGTCCAATCCTGAGCCACAACAGGGCATTAAGCTATGTTTGTTCAGAATTAAGTCACTATCTTATTTGAGGACAAACAATAGTTCAAGTTTGGGGGGTTCGATAAGTGTATTTTTGCACACTTATTTAGGTCACAAACATGACTTAAATACGAGCAAAATAATTGAATTGTGACTTAATCTTGTATATTTGTGAATTGTAGGAAACAATGATGAACATGGTGAAATTCAGGAGAAAAGTCAC